ATATAAATTATTATTATTATTGTTATTATCTTTATTATTATTCTGCTTCTTATTTTCCTTTTTTTTTATATAGTAAGGAATTTCTGTTAATCTTTCTACTTAGTAAAAAAACAGTTTATATTATTAAAAGTATTAATAAGTTTATAGCTTAAATTATAAGCAACATACTTAAAGGCTATAGTAAATTAGTATTAAACACTATTTAAAAAAAATTAAATATAGATACTTACACTTTTAAGGCTTAATCTTTTTACTATTTTTATTAACACTATTACTGCTAATTAGCTGTTTACTATAGTGCTTATATAGAGCATTTTTAACTACATTAAATTCTTAAAATTAAGTAATGCAAAGGACAGTAGTAGAGTTAATTACCTATAAAATGCTTTTTAAACGCTATTAAAAGGCTATCTAAACATAATAAAATATAAAATACTTATAGCTGTAATGCTATCTAGCTTTTTACCTTTTTTAATAGTGTAGACAGGCAGTCTTAGTGTACTACTATTATAGTTAGAAGTTATAAGGCAGTTAGTGTGTAACTGCATTAAGTTAGAGATAACTTATAAACATAATTAAAATAAGTATTAAACTTTAAAGAATACATAGATGTGCTACTTTACTATTTTATAGTTATAAGTAATATAAGAATTATTTTTATTAGCCTGCTTTTAGGTAGCTTTACTACTTTTTAATTTACACTAAAGTATTAGCTAATAAGATTAAATCTTTTTATAATAAAAATAATATATATTACATACTTTAGCACTTTTAATAAGGTTTTAAAAGTTTATTTTATCCTTCTTTAAAGAGTTGCTAGAGCTAATAAGCTATATAAAGTTAAAGACTGTTACTAAAACATAATTAAATAGTGTTATATACGCTATAAAAAGTTATATTTAAAGTAGAAAAGAAGTACAGTCGCCTACCAAAAGTCATTAGCCACTCAACGATCCGAGCTCTGCAGGGGTATAGTCAGCCCATTTAGGAAAGAGGTTACTCGACCAATTGCTACCTAAATTAAAAGATTTTTAGTTCTATAAGAAGCCTGTGTTAAGGCCTATCTTCTAGCGTTATAGTTAATTAATAGTAAGTTAACCTGCCTTTGTTTTAGATAACTTCCTTTATGCGCTTTAACTAGCTTAGGATACTCTTTCTATAATTAGCTAGTGTAATCTTTGCCTATTCCTTTTTAAGGATATCTACTATCTGCTTGCAAGTGGTAATATATTCTTATTACTTTAAGATGCAGAGCTTTATAATCTGCTAGAGGTTCTTAATTAGGTTTAAATTAGGACTTTATAGAGGCTAATCTATCTGTATCATGCTATAGTTGTCTATATACTTTTAGGTAGCCTTTGCAGTATGAATAGGGGCTCCATCCTGCATCTATATGCCAATACCGCGTTTCTCTGTAAGCTGCTTATAGAATAGGATGCTAACGTTGTGCAGAATCTAGCAGTATTTGCTAGCATTGTTCTGCTTGCCTTTCTAGTTAATAAACAGCTCTAATTTAAAATTAAGAGAGATTACACTAAATACAGAGACTGTAGTCCTTCTAGACTTAAATGTAGGCTTTAGGTACTAACTCTTGTATGCTTTTCTATGCTGCCAACGTACATATAGAGGTCTAGTGTCTAAGCTAACTTTAAATGTTGCTTTATTATAATAGGCTACGCAAGCCACATTACTACTCTTGTTATATTAATAGATTTAAGCAAAGCAGAGTTGTTTTTCTTTATGTACAGCTAAGAGCTAAGGCTTGTAACGCGGATAGAAGGCGTTGTACTTATGTTTTGCAAGGTATCTCCTTACAGTACTAGCATAGATGTAGCAGTAGGTCTTAGACAGTGTTGCAATAGTCTAGAGCGTAGCAAAGGGATTATTTGCTGCCTAGCAAATTAAATGCCTCTTAGCGTGTTTGTTAAGCTTTAGAGGCTAGCCTGTACGCAGGGCTTTTGTATAGATAGGCTGGGGCTGCTTGCGCAGCTGGCGGATGTTATATGTAACTGTCGACTTAGGAATGCTAAGATGACTTAAAATTTTGCCAGCGCTCACGCCGTAGAGGTGGAATTGCCATATTGTATTAACAGTAGACTTAGATAGCTCTTTGCACAAGGTTTTATTTGCTTTTGTAACTATTAAAAAAGGTGGTAATTTAATTAAGTTATAATTAATTAAAATCAAAGCATTGTGGGGTGGCCTAGGCCTCTCGCTAAAGTGGCCAATCACTTTTGGTAGGCGACTGTATATTATAAAAGTGCTAAAATAGTTTCTATGCATAGTGTTATAATACTTTTTAAGTTTATTATCTAAACTAGGCATAGTAGCGTAGAGCTTCTTTATTAGACTTTTGTTGTCCGTACGTAAGTACGGCTGAATTAGGTTGCCTGAAACGTTGGCTATCTGGCCTGTGCGTTAGGGGCTATGTGTACTTAAGAGCTCTCTTTCTTTGTACAGTACAAAGAGAGAGGGCAGTAGTTAATAACAAGAAGATCTTTACCTACTCACCTCTTAGTACGCCCCTTAGGTGTACGTTTGTTTAATTAAACCTAGGTTAACTAACACTAATTAGTCTATTAATAGACTGTTTTGCTGCAAAAGCTTAAACCCACTGTGTGCGTAGCCACACAAAGAGGGCTCTCTAAGCCTTTACAAAAAACCTGTCTTTTTAACAGGCAGATTTGCAAGGATTAACAAAACTGCTACTGTACAAGAAGCTTACACCTACCGCGTGCGTAGCTACGCAGAGAAGGTATAAAGAAGCTTACATCTACTGTGTGCGTAGCCACACAGAGAGGGGTAAGTAAGCCTTATGCGCGCCCCTAGATTAACTAATTGCACAAAGACAAGATTAGCAACCCGCCGCGTGCGTAGCCACGCAGAGAGGGCTCACTGCTAAGCCTTTGTGCGCCCTAGAGCCTCCTGTTGACACAGGCTGTGCAACTACTCGCCTACCGCGTGCGTAGCCACGCAGAGGAGACAATACAGGCCGCACAATTAGAAACCTACCGCGTGCGTAGCTACGCAGAGGAGGCTCCTTATTAGCAGCCTACCTTATTAACACCCCCTTAATTAATTACCTGCATAAGAGGTAATTAATTAGTTAACATCTATCGCACGTACAAAAGCCTACAATATACCTCCCCCCCCCCTACGTCGCCTAAACACGCTGCGACCTGACATCTATTGCCCGCACAAAAGGCAATTAACTAACACCCCCCCCTAAGAACAGCCGTACAAACACACGACCAGCACCACCTACCCCCCCCTAGACAACAGCCATACAAACAAAGCAACTGGCAAACCTTTACCTTGTCATGGGATACTTGTACAATGAACTAGTGGAGATGACCCACGTGTCTAGGACAATACTACAAAAGGAGGTCAACCTTACCCTCCTAGTAGAGATGACCCACGTGTCTAGGACAATACTACAAAAAGAGGTCAACTTTACCCTCCTAGTAGACTGCCTTGACATGTTAACAAATCCCTCCTAAGTACAACAAACCTTATACGTAGCAGATACCCTTGTCTTTATGTGTACAGGAGGGTACAGTCTGTCTAACTTTATAGAAGACTTTAAAGGCTAGACATAACAGGATTTTAACAACCTATTTTGTGCGTTTAGGCAAAAGCTCCTCTATGCTCTAGCTAAGCACAGGATCTATCCTGTAGAAAAGAGATGCTGTACGCAGGCTAAAAAGCTAGCAGGTGTTGCAAACTAGCAGTACACTATAGGCCCTGTACAAAGAAGAAGAGGAAAGGATGCAGGGGATAGTATAAAGGGGGATAAAAAACAAGGCAAGGCAGGCAAGCAACTTAATTTATAAAAATAAAAAGTTACTAGTGTCTGTACGTAAGTACAGCTAAATTAGGTTGCCTAAAACATTAGCTATCTAGCCTGTGTGTTAGGGGCTATGTGTACTTAAAAGCCCTCTTTCTTTGTACAAAGAGAGAGGGCAGTAGTTAATAACAAGAAGATCTTTGCCTACTCACCTCTTGGTACGCCCCTTGGGCGTACGTTCGTTCGATCGAACCTAGGTCAACCGACATTTGTAGTATTCTAATATATATTAGGATGTGATCTAAACGCGATCTAAACAGAATCTAGGCTATATGCAATACTAACCTTAGATTAATAGTTAATCTTCTTTAGCTGTCTTTTTACCTTTGCTATCTTTATGCTAGCAGAAGACATATTAGTAATTAAAGTAAGCTATCTTAATGTAATTAATAAACTAATTATAGTTAAAATATACTTACTATAGCTTATAAAAATATAATCTAAACGCATTTAGATTTTAATTAATACTTACTTTATAAATTTATTTTAAAGTGTTATAAGAAGTGTATTTAATGTAACACACTTTTTTATAAACTTTAATATAGACAAACTTTATAGTATATCTATTTACTTTATAAACTTGTTAAAAACATAATTAGAACTTTTATAAAATAAGTAATATTTAGCCTACTTTCTCTATCTGTTTAATCTTAAATTTAAGGTTAAATTTATTATAAGGAATTTAAATTTGTTAGCAGCACATTAGCATGTAGCGCTTTATTTTAATCTACTAAACACGTTAGAAACAATATGTAATTAGGATTAGAATATAATTCTTACACATCTAATTGCCTAATTTAGGAACATTAGTTCTTAGTGCTGCCCTAACAACATAGTAGTTGCTGTAAGTAAGAACAATTTAGCAGTAAGTTAAAAGAAGAGCTTAGATGTAGTTAGCAAGTGCCTTAGGCTAAAAAAGTGTTAACCCTGCTAAAACAGGTTTAGTATATAGAGAGGGTTAGAGTAAAAGTAAGAGAGGTTTAGTACAAGAAATTTTAATTGGGCCCGTGCGCAGCTAAGCGAGGCCGAGGAGCAGCCGATTTGACTTATTAGTGCATGAACTCTATAGTCTCGCGCTTAGAGACCTGGTAGTTGATCACATGATTAGACTTGCTAAGCGAACCCTAGTCTACAATAGAAGTGGCAATATCTGAGGTCTATCTCAACCTCTTCCTCCTCCACACCAACACAAATTCAGCGCCCCCCAGACAACCCTATGGCCGGTGCGGTTCGGCCATCCTCCCTACTAGCGGTGGCAACTCGAAGTACCATCTCACATACGCTGCAACTCACAATGATTTCTAAGCGAACTGCGGTACTTTAGCTATGCTACTTTTGTGCTACGTTTGGCCTGCTGGTTTAGAGACCATCTGCTTACCACACCTATCTCTTGCTAGACATTCTGCTTACTAGTTTCCATGGCCTCTAACTGCCATGTTGCAAGAGCTTCGTGAGATGATATAGTAAAGGGATGTCGAGAACCCAAGACTACTGCCTGCAGCCTGCAGCAGTCCTCCATCAGTGAGATTGCGTTACTTGTGAGCCCCTGACCCTTTAACGTAAATGCGAGATTGTTCATGCTGATCAGCGTGTCTGGATGCTCCTCCCCAAGCACCCTCTTTCTCGTCTCCATCACTTGCACCTCCAGCTCTTCGGCCTCCTTCCACCG